TTATCTTGAAAAAATATCTTTAATGTCAATACAGGTATCTGGTTTAGTGAATAACTGTATTATTCCAAAACAAATCTTTAGTCTTTACTACTCTCATTTCCTTGTATTCCGAAAACATTATTTTCTGCATTATTTTTTATGCCTGTAGTGCTTGTCGATTAGAAATGATTATCCAGTTCTTTAATTGCATAGTTTGTAAACATAATTGTAAGTCCAAAAATAAAACTTGAATTCATTTGTGGCGGACTTCACCACATTAATTTAACTTTAGATTAGGAAACAGGGCTGAAACAGAAAAAGGATAAGCAAAAGACATTGTTACACATAAAATTTGTATTTAATAAGATGTACAATACCAAGCATAGATTTAAAGAAAGCATGCATTTAAGTAAGAAAAGGTTGAAATAAACAAAAGTTGTCTCTCTTTAACTGTTATTTTAGTATTTCAAAGTTCACTGGAATAATGTTCATGAGAGTCTCTTATATGTTCTTAAAGATTTGCTGTGTTAGAAAAAATTATGTGAGTGTATACAATGTATGTTCAGTATGTGAGTGAGAATGTTGGCGCATGGTTTCAACTCTTGTGGATTCGTTTGGCAGCTGAATTCTCACTAATTATCTAAGAAAAATTCTTGCTTAAATAATTAACTATAGGCTCCAGATTGCTGCGCGGGAAGAATTATTCTTCACGTGCAGACGATCTGATTGGTTCGCATAGAGCAATCAGCGAGCGAGCTTTGGGGAGACTTAAGAAAGCTTCTATGATCTGTTTGTCCAAAAAGTGCATAAAACCTACTACATGAAAATAGAGCGATTACAAAATTGTCTATAATAATGTACTGGTGATTAATTAACCAATGAATGCTTGGCGTTTTATGTGATTTGATTTGTATTTCTATGTATGTATATATGTTCGTTCGTGATAGACTCGCATTCATTCATCTTTGATCTTTGTAAAGACTGCGTTTTCTACTGACATTAACTAAGCTATCGATTGTGTCGATAAAACAACAACGATTTTCCGAAAGAAGAATACTCTAGCAAGAGGCTGGTTTAGATTACACGAAATTCGACCCCGCTAGAGAGGCTACTTCTACCCGGGAGGTGGGGACTGAAAAAGCATACATAAAAAGGACATTGCCGAAATGTCTGGAGCCTGTAATTTGAAGGGTAGGCAATGAAGAGTAATGGCAAGATAGGAATCATTCCTTGGGCCAAATATTCTTTACAATGTGTATTTCAAGTGATATGTTCGAAGAATACGTCAAAGGGAATTCCAAGAGAAAGTAATAAAAAAAAAAGAAGTAAAGAAAACGTGGATCCCTTGTTTTATCGATTTGTAAGAGAAAGAGAAAGCAAGGTACGTTTTGCTTTCTCCGATTAAAGAAACAAACACTTCTTTCGAAAGAAAACAGAGAAAGAAAATTTATTCTTTTCAAAAGAAAGAGTGAGCCATTTTTTTTTAAATATGAAAGAATAGAAGTAAAGATTATTATCCGAAAGACAGAATCAGATTTTTTTTCTAAAGAAAAACATGAAGAAAGAATGAAAAGGAAAGACACACACACACGCGCACACACACACACACACACACACACACATATATATATATATATATATATATATATATATATATATATAGAGAGAGAGAGAGAGAGAGATAGATAGATAGATATAGATATATATTTATATACAGGGTGTCCATAAATTTCGCGTACACTTTAAAAAATTTATAACTTTATTTGTATTTGCGATATAAATAATTTGTAAAAAGGATTAGAAAGAAGTAAATCTATACTTTTTTTAAGGTTTTATTGAAATTTTATTTAAGTTTCTACATGTCCTCCATCATTAGCAATACAATTGGTAATACGATTTTGCAGTTCACGGAAAACATTTGCCAACTGATTTACAGTAATGCCTGAAATCAAATTAGTTATTTTAGCTATACTTAAAACTAGGTACATTAAACGTTATTGCTTTTTACAGGTTATTTCTATCACAAATACAAATAAAGTTATAAACTTTTTAAAGTGTACACGAACTTCATGGACACGCTGTATATATATATATATATATATATATATATATATATATATAAAAACAAAGAGAAGAGATTGAGAAAACAATAAAAAGAAAAGGGGAAAGGAAAAGAAATATAAGTTGAGTTTAAATGTTTCAAGAAATTTTTTTTAACTTAATGGTACATTTCATTAGCTGAGTTGTAATCAACAACTCTTATTGTCTTTGTCACTTCTTTCTTTCTTTTTCCTTTTTCCTTTTTCCCGTTTTTCGTATTCATGTAGATCTTTTTTCTATTCATTTTTCTATTCTATTCTTTTTTCTTCGTGAATATGAACGGATTATAATAAAAATAAGCAGGCATAATGTTTGTAATTTATGTAATCACACACACACACACACATATATATTTTTTTTTCCGAATGGGTCGTGAATATATAAATACTCCATAGTATAAGAAAAAAAATGCGTTCAGCGT